GCAGATTTTGATTAATTGAGCCGCCTTAAAAATGTCTCCTTTGCTAAAACCATTTGTGTAGAGTGGCGGATCCAGATACGAGTCAAGGAGGGTATATAATATAATGCTAGAAATCTTACTATTAGCAAATAATAGATATAATAAAGAATACAAATAACAATATCAATTCAAAGTGCTCAAACAATATGTAGACATCAATAATAGAACAATATCAAATAGAAGAATATATGATAATAAAAAAATCTTACATGTCTTCACAATTCTACACCACTTTGGTTTAGTCCTTAATTATACATAAATTAAAAATGTCATGATTCTTTATAAATCAAGATATGAATTGAAATGTACAAATACAATATGCACCATTCATTCCTCAGGCACTCGCGTGGTCTTTTTTCTCAATCCAGCTCTCTTTAATTCCAACATAACTATTCAACACATCTTTCTTACGAATTTGACCCTGTTCGTTTTGCTGAAAAAAAAGACAAAACACTGTTCCGGCTGGTTTGTTGTGAGGAAAAAACACTGTTTCGGTTGAAAAAATAAGCTGAAAAAGACGGATTATAAGAAAAGCGAACATGACCAATATCTTCCATCCTAGCCTCCTATAGTGAGGGCTGTAGAAGGTGTAAGGCGGACAGGACCACCACAGTGGTCGATGGTGTTGGATTTGTTGTCGATGCGCAACACACCCACCGGCCACTAGTCAGTCATGATGCGTTGATGCGGTACTGGCTGTTATAAACGATAGGCAATATAAACGACGAAGAATAGTAGATCAAGCACAGGGAGACACGAGATTTTAACGTGGAAAACCCTTCTAAGGTGGAAGGAAAAAAACACGGGCACCAGCCAACAAATCTTCACTATATCGGGTGAGATTATAAACATCGGGGATTTACAACTTTTCTTATCCAAGACGACGGCTTACATGAAGTATATATAGATAGAAAACCCTAATAGGTGATGGCCCAAGCCTCCCGTCGACGGGCCTCGCTTTGCTCTCGGCAGAAATTAGCCTTTATCTTATACATAACTGAATTTGGCTCACAACGAACAATAGCGGCTAGGCGTGGTCACGGAGAGGAGGGACGGTGAGCCAGTGAGGGACGAGGGGAACCCCTGGCTCCGACACTCCATGGCTCGGCACGATTAGCCTGCCATGGCAACTCGCGGGTAGAGGCACAGATCTGCGGTGCAGACTTGCAAGCAGTGGGCATGAGTCGGCAAGGACGCAACGCAGAAGGGGGCTTAGAGGGGGTTGTGTGTTGGGATGTTAGTGGGGCTTGATGGGTTTTTCTAAAGACTTGTTACTAAAAAATTAGATAGCACTCGGAGCTACACCCCCGCTGGCCCTGGGCCGTTAGAGGATACAAGCAGCAGGTAAATGATGATGTATGAGTTCCAGCTAGCGATTAAAATGGATAGAAACAGGGCGCAAACCCCTTAGGCCTCGTTCGTTTCTGGTCGTTCTGGCCAGGAACGATTCCTGGAGAAGCTTGGCCAGGAACGATCCCTTCCGGCTGATAGCTGACCGGTATAAAATACAGCTGCCTTCCGGCTAGGATCGGTTCCGGCACTCCGTTCCGCTCGAAACGAACGGGCCCTTAATCGTTTCCATTTCCGTCTTTGATCATTGCAAACGGGAACGGAACCAGATAGCCAGGAATGAGAATTACAACGGATATGAAGGAATTTGAAACAAACAAATAAGGACAGGAACTGAAAACTTAAGCTAAGATTTGATGTAAAGTCATAATGTTCAAACACATGGTTTAGTGTGCATATTTGACTTGTTAGGAGCCTTGTTGAAGTGCCCCATGGGCTTCTTGGTGGCCCTTAGAAGGGCTTTGTAAATCTACGAACTAATATTTGATGTAAAGTCATAATGTTCAAAGGTTGCTACAATAATAATTGCTAAAATTTACCCAGTATATTGTAAATACGGGATGAATACAGGTCCATCCCATCTAAGAACGCAATCTTGGAAAAAAAACAAAAAAAACACCTGATCTCACTTCCGATCTTGTTGCCTATTTTTTTACAAATACGGGGTAAATGTAGAAAACAGAGCGGGATGGGACGAGAATTATCCCGTGCATTTTCATCCCTAGTTCCACCTATTGCTTTGTCATAAATAGTTAGTGCTCGAGGGCCCTCACTAATGATCGATAACGAAACATAAAAATTCGTCATAGATATATGTGTTATGTGACGTGATTTTGCTACGTCACTAGATATTCATCATATATGTGCACATTTCTAGTATTTGTTTTCCGAAGTATGTTGCTAAATTGTAGAAAAATGAATTATTTGAGCACTTTTAATGCATGATGCTAGCTAGAGCGAGACATTTGGAACCAAGATAGGCGAAGGCCCAAGGCGAAATGCGAGTACCCTATGAACTAAGCTAAATTGAGTTGTCAACTTCTTAACCATGTTCAATTTATAACCTAATTAATCTAATTGTTCCTGAAATCACACCACCTGTGCTACTCATTACGTGCAGAATTGTATCTTTCATGTGATACATACATAATACAACACAAGTTCGTAATTCTTGAAAAGTAATTTAGATTTATAACACAAGTCACACTCATTAAGTCACAACAAGTTCAAGCATAGCATAAGTCTACTAAATTATCATAGTTTTGAAATACATCTTATGGGCCAGGGGACACCCACAAGCTACCACCTAAAGGCATACTCTATATTACCACCCTAAGACTGTCTCCAATAGGTGACCCATATGGACATCTAACTCAAAATGGATAACAGGAGATTCAAAATCAGTCTCTAACAGAGTACCTATACGGGAGACCTATTTTTGGTTGTCTGAAATACACAACCCAAATATGAGTATCATCTCTCCTAAAATCCATTTGCAGAAAGATTCTCTTTTGGGTCCTGTTGTTGGAGAGGATGTCGAATGGGTATTGAACCCTTTGAGTGTAGCGCTATCCAAACGTTGAATATATCTTGTATTTTGGGTGGTGGTGTTGGAGATAGTATGAAGAGGGCTTGAGGCTTAGAAGTACTCGTAGATCGGCAAGATAGGCCTAACTTTGCTACTATGCTGGCGCAGGTCGACGCTAGGTGCCATGGTGGCACCCCCACTGTGCCATATTATTTTGCCCTGCCAATGCCTCTACCTCTAAGCCTGTTTGCTGGTTGGTTTCTGGGCTGATAAGCCCGGCTGATGCTGGTTTGTTGTGAGAGAAAAATATTGTACCATGGCTGATAAGCTCTAGCTGAAACCAATAAGCGAACAGGTTGTTTGTATCTCCCTCTGAGGGTTATGTTTAAGATATTAATTATAAACAGTTAAAAATGAAAATAAAAAAAATATCTATACAGCATCACAGCAGTGTCCTCGGTTCACCATTAAAGCCTACATAGGCTATAGCTAATCCTAATAAGAACCAGATTCGTGCTAACAGTATTCAATCTAGGATGGGCAATCACTTGATCGTGCTCGTGGAAATTGCGATCGATCGAATATATGGGGATCATATCGAAGGAACACGTCCAAGACACTGACAGGCATCTCTATGTCACGTGTGCTTGACCCACAATCTTGAGCTCTATTGGTAGGAAGCTTCTTGTGAACTTGACTCGTGCAAACGAAGCGTGAAGTTTTTTTCGATCGATCGAGACAAAACATTCCATATGCTTCAGGTTTCATGCCCAGACGTGGTGCAATCCCGTCCCAAACCCATACCCATTGGATGCCCGATACCCAGTGCCCATACCAAACCCATACCCATGTTGTATAGATTGTCCATTTATTTATTTAATTATTGGTATGGATAGGATATAAGTAATAATTAATAGAGGTGTTAATGTTATCCATACAATAGTATATACCCGTTCTTCTGATCTCTCCGGCATTGCTCTGAGCGGCGGCGACATCGTCGTGTAGAAGCCCGTCATCCTGCCGCGCCGTGCCGAAGCTGTAGAAGGCGTGACGCCCGCGCACGAGAAGGCCTCCGCGAAGCTACAGCCGCCGCCGCCCGCCGGCCAATCTGCTGCGCCTGCTTCGGTAGCGAGAGGCGGTGCCGTAGGAAGGGCCATACCGCCGCACGGGAGGGAGCGGCCACCTGCGATACTGGAGCCATGGCCGCGGCCGGGCCGGTGGAGGTACAGCAGACCGATAGGGAGGAGTCGCGGATAATCCACATCTGTATGGATAATCCGCACCTGGAGAGCATTACCGAGCAAAAGCATCTTACCCACATTTCCATGGGTCTGGGGGTTATCGGTAGATCAACCCACGGTGTTTGGACTTTGGATGCTCACGTATCACATGCATTGAGATGGATACACCGGCATCCAAAAGAGGCCACAGATTCCTCAGAGGTAAAAAAAAAAACAATACAAACCAGACACGTTAAAACCAACCAATTCATACAAACAAGAAATCTTAAAGTCAGCACAACAGAATAAAATATCCGAGGATCAGGGGATGACCAGGGAATGGTTTCAGATGATTCAGTTAAGGGTTCCAAGCGTCTCGTTACAACGTGCCGTGTTCTCAGTTTATATATATAGATATGCATACATGTTGCGAAAGTCACGGTTGCTGTTCCAAGGGATATACATATTATATATATAATAAGATGATGAGATAAAAAAAAGATTTGGGCTAGAGCTACGGAACCCATCAGCTTTCCCATACGAACCCCCCCTGCAACGGTGCATCTTATACGAGATAATAACAGAGCTCTGAACCCTGCTACAATCAGAATTATCTCCTCTCATTTCAGAGACGGACAGACAAATGGCAAGTGAATGAGCTTGCCAATTCTTATCTTTGCATTTATTGAGACTTTTCTATGTCAGCTGCAGCCTTTATTCACAATTGATTGATGGGAAGTCGAACTGGAGCAAAAAAGAATCCGAGACCTCATTCCACCTATGGCAGAAAATCCTGAGAAGGATGCCCAAGATCTATCTTCATGACAGAAAGGGGACTAATGCTCTCAAACTGTGTCTCATTACTATGCTTGCATGCCAGCAGCTGCAGAAGCCGGGGATCGGATAAGCGTGTGGGGAGCATAAACCTTTGATATAGACCCGACAGGTCCATATGTAGTTCCAGGGGCTGGTGGTGGATTAGCAGAGGAATCCTTGACTAGAGTGTATTGTGGACGCAGATCAGAAGATGGCAGATATGGAGGCATAGGAGTAACAGGGAAACTGTGAGGATATGGAGCCACTGGCATGTCAGTAAGTGACGACGCTGAGAGACTATAGTTTGGAGTACTCATCGGGTGATCAAACTTGCATGTCGGCCCAAACTTGCAAAACCCATGGTGTGCATAGTAAGCACATGGCTGAGAACCCTGCACATCAAGAGAAGCTTCAGATGAAGATGTACTGAAAACTGAAGCACAAACAAGAACTAAAAAAGTGCAAAAAGGAACTCAAAAAGAAAAAAAGGGCAACAGATGATGTCAATCTCAACCTTGTGTGTTTACATTAATGTTCACAAAACTGTTATCATGCTTCATTATTATAAAAAAAAAAACAATGTCAGCAAAGACTGCTATGCTTCATATCAGTTGCAGTGGAGCATTAAAAATCTGTCTGTGTCAAGATAAATTCAGAAAAAATTGTCAAATGCAAGAAAACAAGGATGGGGGCGTGACTATATTAACAAGTGTTGCAAGGTTCAACTTCACAAATAAAAGAAACTGAATCCAACACAGATCCATGTCACGACAAATGATGTTGGCCACTGGTCAGATCTTCAATAACCTTCTCCCTCACAGCATCTTTTGTGATTTCATAATGGTAAAGAGTCTTTTATCCAACTTCTATCATAAGGATGGCTGCCTCAGGCATATGGATAGAAAACTGTTTTATATCAACAAAAAGGCGTAGTAGACCAAATTTGCTAGGATGTAAATGTACTATTTGACACATGTTTCTTGCTCCAGTTAAATTCTACAGTTTGCTTTCCACTACTTAGCTTTCCAACATCACGGTACAGAGCTGAAGGGTTTTTGAACTCTTTAATGGTCATTCAACAATAAAAATCTTTGAGACCAAATAGGGGTACCACTTTTTAAGTATAAAAAGCTGTAGACATGGAAATGAAAATACAGTTCAGACATAACCAAAATCTCATTCCTAGCAAGTCTTGATTTATGGACGTGGAAATGAAACAGCCTAGTTGACTACTAGAGCCAGTGCTCCAAATGAACAATGAAGAAATTACATGGACAAACTTAGGTCATAAAACTAAAGTGTTGAGTGGACAGCTTTTGAAGCTGCAGTAGTTCATCTGTTTTGTCCAAAATCGACATATTTAAAATGCAGCTGGTTTCCATCAGAATCTTACCTAAATGCCACCATCTTTCCTTTATGGCATGAATTCTGGATATTCTAAACATTCTAAAAGATGAATGTGTTCGAGTGATCAAAAGGCCTCAATAATGGTGTAATTAGGGCAAACAAAGTGCATGTGAAATTGGTCAAAAATTAGGCAGTCAGACCACCATTCAAGACGTGCAAAAAATCTCCATTTTAGGACTGCTCCTCTATTTTGTCGCGTAATGAACAAAATGTTGCAGAGAGAACTTAACTCATATTCTCATTATTTAGCTCCAAGCCAATTTGGAGCTATGTTTATATAATGGAGTGTTGTGCCCTGCCCCGGTATCCACAAGACAAGACTGGGGAAGGATCAAATCGTGCAAACTTTTCGTTCATGATATTGTATAGTACCAAATAGGCTACTTTCCTTGTAACCCTACCCTTATATAAGGAGAGGCAGGGCCCCTAGTGGACACGATCATGCAATGCGAGGAGACATTTTAGACTTGAACCCGGGACCTTCCGGTCACAGGCGGTAAGACTCTACCACCTTGCGTGCAAATTAAATGTAAATTATCAATTAAATTGTATCAGGCAATAAAATGCACACTGGTAATCAAAGGATGAAAACCAATATGGATTATATTTCATGTAGACAGCATAGAAGTTTCCTGAATGAAAACATGCATGTGATCTACTCACAGGACGCAGGGGAAGACCCAGAGGGCTCAGTATGCAGTTAGACTTTGGTCCACTGAAGTATTGAGGATGATGATATTTGCAGACTGCTCCATATTTACAGGTTCCGGTCTTCATGTAATGTTCACATTCAGGCTGCCCAGGCCGCTCTGGAAAGGCATATTCTTGTATGTTGCTGCTTGAAGTCCCAGATGAAGAATACAATTGTGCATAATGACTGCCATAAGTCACAGCAGAGGTAGGCCCCTGGTGCGACAAGCCATAAGATGCCCCTGCTGAAACAGCTTGCTGTCCCCCAGTTGGTGTAACTTGGTTCATAGGTGACTGAGAACCAAATAGAGTAAAAAAATCATTAGGCAGTCAGCGGTGTCTTATAATCATGACTACCATTGCATTTTCAAGACATGAAGGAAGTACTAACTCGCATCCAATTATTTGCGGTCTTATAAAATCTCCATTTTAGGCCACTGCCTCTATTTGTCGTGAACTCGTGATAGACAAAAATGTTACATAAAGGATATCATGAACTTAACTCTGAATACTCATTATTTAGCTCAATATTGGTCAAGCCAATTTGGAACAAAGATATCTTCCTAATTTATATAATGGAGTGCCTTCTTAATAAAGTAATAAAGTGCAAAATGACAAGTAATAGAAACTTACAACATAAGGGTTCCATCCCTGCACTGGCATAACTGTAGGTGGAAGCATCATTGGTGGATACGAGCCTGGTAAAAAAGACCCTGGCACAACAGGAGTCCTCCCCATTTGCCAATTGGCAAGATGTGGATATGGATGTGAGGAGGAAATAGGTGATGGTTGGAAATGTGGGTACATGCCAGGTGTCTCCGAAAGAAAACCAAGTTCTGGGTGATGGAATTTACATGTAGATCCAAACTTGCAATGTCCAATTTTCATGTAATAGGAACATTCCTTTTCACCATCCGGTTCTGCATTAACCACCCCTCGGTGGGCCCGAGCATGGATTTTTTAAAGTAATAAAGTGCATAAAAATAAACTTACAAAGGGTTCCATCCACCACCTTTGCCATAAGCGTGTAGGTGGAAGCATCATTGGTGAATCTGAGCCTGGTAAAAAATGACCACAGCACAACAGAGGCCTCCCCATTTGCCAATTGGCAAGATGTGGATATGGATGTGAGGAAAATAGGTGATGATATCCTAGATTAAACAGAAACGTGGATTGAAATGAGAACACCCACCAGACGTAGGGGGAATCCACTGCTGTTTAATGTGACAGGTACAAAACCACCTTCCCTGGGATGATCAAACTTGCAATTGGAACCAAATTTACAGGTGCCATTCTTTGCATAGTACTGAAAATAACAAGAACGTTCGTAACCAGAGCTTCCACCACATGACAATAAAAAAATAATATATTTTGACCAAAAATATCAATCAGAAATAGCTTTAGAATTGGTTTAGTTACCTCACAGAGTGGCTGTCCAGGTCGCTCTGGGTACTCCACCATACCTGCGGTCTTTCCAACTCCATTAACCTGAAAAACGCAGCCGAATTTCACAGGTACATGCTTAAATCAAAAGCAGGCTAAAATATTTTCAGAATATCCTACAAGTCTGTACATTCGACTCCAATCACCCATTCATTCTGGTGTGACATATGGAGGTTCTAGCTCCTATTAGGTACTAGTACATGTTTATTGAAGATTCTAGCTCCTACCTGAGACTCCAATCTCCCACTCATTGTCAAAAAAAAAAAGACTGGTTATTAGCTACTCCCTCCATTCCAAATTATAAGACGTTTCGGCTTTTTTAGATACAATAATATTACTATGTATCTAGATATAGTGTATATCTAAGTGGATAGCAAAATCTATGAATCTAAAAAAAGCCTAAAAGTCTTATAATTTGGAATGGAGGTAGTACTAAAGACGCAAGACATAAGAAAAGGACATGCAATTAGGCAATACAATCCTAATAGGAGTAGAACTGCAAAAGGACATGCAATTAGGCAATACAATCCTAATAGGAGTAGAACTGCAGAGCCAGAGCAGCCTAGAATGCAAGCTAGTAATAAACGCTAAAAAGTATGGCAGTATTCACTATTCAGAGCAAAGATGGAAGTCTGAATTCCCCCTCATCAACCACAAGACACCAAATTTTCATAACTTCCACACTTGACACTTCCATGCCATCATATAATCATCAATTCGCCGAAAACCTTCAACTTTAAGCAACAAACTCGTCACCCACCAACCGGATGCTATCATCACGCGGTGTCGGTCATTGTCAGGATAGCAGAGGCGCTTAGCTCACCAGTAACCATCGAGCTGAGCACGAGACAAGAAAAAGAAAAACAGAACAACAAAACAGAGCAGAGCAGGGGTAAGGGGGAGCGGCGTGGACGAGGCTGGCGCTCACCGGAACCGGCCGATCGCGAGGGTGGTTGTAGCGGCAGCGCTCCCCGTAGCCGCAGGCGCCCGTGCGGAGGTAGTAGGCGCAGTCCGCCTCGCCCGGGCGCTCCGGAAGCTTCTCCTCCCCCGCTTCCCCGTCCTCGCCGAGCCCCAGCCTCCGCATCGACTCTGCGAAAGCACCCACGTCAACACCACGCGCCGGGTCCAAGCAGTCGCATCGGAGATCCAAAACCCTAGCGAGTGAGCGCGCAAAAGCAAAGCGGCGAAACCCCCACGGACGCAGCGGAACCCCAATTGCGCGGACGAGGTCGGTTTCCGGTACCTTCCAGGCCGGTGCCGGCGTCGGCCCCGCCGCCCTTCGCCGCCGCGTACGGCTCCATCCGACGGACGGCCCCCGGAAGCTCCCGGAGAGCGGCGATCGGGCCAGGCGCCTGCCTCGCCGACCGGGACGCTCGATCGAAGCTCAGGCGAGCGAGCACCGGAACCTCACGGAGCCGAGCAAAGGGAAGAGAAAAATTATTCCAGAATTTTTTCTTGCGCTGGTTGCTGCTGCAGTGCTGCTCGCTCGCGGTTCCTTCCTGGACTCCTCTCTGCCTGCACTCGCGGCTCGCCCTCCGTACGCGGTCGCGTCGCGGTGGCCTTTTGCAGGGAGAGGGGTGGGGGTGGGGGTGGGGTGGGGGGATCGGGAGTGGCCAGTGGTGTGCTGTGGTGGCGGGGCTTTCCGTTCGGCGCTGGAGCCGGCCCCGCCCCGTGCGCCCGGGAGGAGAGAGCGAGCGAAACGGGCGGGCGGACGCGGGACGCGTGTGGATTCGCTCGGGCAACCGCTACTGCCGCAACCGCAACCGCAACCGCGCGCGGCGCTGTTACGGGGTACGGCAACGAGTACGGCGTGGCGCTGCGGCGCATAGGCCTGTCCCTGCCCTGTTGCTGCTCGCTCGCTCTCTCTCGGTCGCTCAGCTGCTGTGGGCTGCAGTAGCAGAGGCGCGGCGCCAATCGACAATGGGAAACGGAAAGGGAAAAGGGGCAGGCAGGGGCTAGCCGCGTGACGCAATAAATGCGCGGTCGCCGTGGTGGGCCCGCAGCGGGACGACGGTGGTTCGTTGCTTTCCTCCGTAGTCCTGACCGTGGCCTGCTACTGCTAGACCGCAAGGTCACGTGCCGCTGCCACAGCCGTACACTGGCGGGCTCCTTTCAGCCAAGCGAACGGGGACATAGTCGCATCCTAGGAAAGTAGGAAGGCCTAGGAGCATCTCTGTCCCCGACTCCCGCTAGATTTCCCCGGCCGGTGCCGATTTCTGTTGGAGTTTTTAGATTGACCCTATCAACGAATTAATAAGTAATTTTGGTATTAGCATTCAAAAAAGTAATTTTGATATTATTGTGGTCCAATCTTAATTTATGAGATTCTCCATAAAATATATTTTGAAAATATATTCATTTAGGCTTGTAGCCATTAGTCATTGCTGAAAAAATATTTATTAGAACACAAAAAAGATTGAATCATTTTACTTTCTAGTCATTTTTGTCTCTCTTTCTTCTAAACTTTAAGTGGTAAACAATTGGTCACTTATCATTTAGCTATTATTCAAACTAAACGGGCACTTAAATAGACAAAACAGTTGTTTGAACAAGATAAATTGACAATTCAACGAAACGACTATGGGCACATTCTTTAGGAAGATGAAAAATCTTGTTTTTCGGTGATTGTTGTGAGAGGAAAAATATTGTTACGACGAGCGTGAATAGTGATTTTGTGAGGTGGGTTGGCGGTAGATAATCACCAACCGACCAAATTAACACGGCCTATAGCATTTAAACAATAATATGTAAACGGCCTAAATGATCGTTAGGCAGATAGTTATATTAGTATATTTTAACAAAACTTGGTTAAAACCATAGTAGTTTGATTGAGGACAAACCAGTACTTAGAATGGGGTGGGTGCTACGATATTACCAATAGAACATCTTCAAGAGCTTTCCTATCCAACTTAAGTTAAAAATTAAGGTTTATATAACAAAAATCAAGTCATGTTGGACGCCTATATATGCATTATATCTAACAAAAGTCGGAAGGACTTAGAGCATCTCCGAAAGTATCCTAAATTTTGTTCCTCAAAACATCATGTTTTTCAACTCCTAAAAAGATATTAAGAGAAAAAAAGAAGGCCATCTCTAAGGTATCCAATATTTCACTTCAAAAAATCAAAATTTAGTCTCAGTTGGGTTTTTTTTTGGGGCACTTTTTTCCATGCGAAATCCTTCGTTGTCGCGCAAACCTACGCCGCCGCCGCCGCCTCCTTCCTTTGTCGTGAGGTGAGCCGCCTGAGAAGCAAAGCAATTGCCAGACAAATAGCGGCACCGCCGTAGCGAAGAGATGTGCCACACATCACTCCTCCGAAATAAAAATGAGCGGCAAGAATGGCCACGGCCTCCACGCAGGGGGCACACGGATGCCTCACGAGGTCCGAGCGATGCAAGACCCGACCACGGCCGCCTCCGAAGCGGCAAAGAACGGCCACAGCCCACCACACAGAGGCCATGGCTGCCTCCGAGCGGCAAATTGACGTCACGAGAAGGAGACGCGCGGGAAGAGGAGATGCGCGCGACTAGGATGCACATATTTTTATGTACAGAGGCGGCCAGTTTGTCAAGTGCCAAAAGATGTGGAAGGAATATGGGGTACTCTTGGAGATGACTTTTTCTTTTTTTCCTAAAAAAGTATGGATAGAGAAGGGATATAGGGCACTCTTGAGATGCTCTTACAATTTGAAATGGGTGAGTACTAAATCTATGTATAAGTTTCTTTTTTTTTCTTTTAATGAGATGTCGGTATAAATAACACTAGTATCGGGTCGGTTGAGGAATATATTGATATTGATTATGGAATATCAGCAGCTAGGCTAAATTGCTCTTGTGGAATTTTAACTAGAACGCTTTCATCAAAAAAGAAGAAATTTAAGAGAACCAGGCTAATCATACGATGCTTAGAGCAACTCCAATAGACTATTTATATCATTTATAATTTATAGAATTATAGATTTTGGTGAAAATAACCTTTAACAACCTCTTTGCATGTATCTTCAAATATAGACATTATGTATTTTGGATTTCTCGCTAACCAAAGATGGAAAGTGAGGATAGGTCTCTAGAGTGCGGACAAGATATAGAAAAGTTGTTGGAGATTACAAAGACATAGAAAAACGATTTTTACTCAAATGCTCTCCAAATAACGATTTAGAGACTGGATTTTAGAAAGAATTTTTAGATGCTCTTAGAAAGTTCCTTCGGTTCCAATTTTTTTAAACTTTTTTATTACAGTATCTCCATATGAAACTAATTTGACTTAGAAAATCTAAGTTCATTCTTTTATAAATTCAGTGAAGTTAAAAAGAAATTTGACTTGACACAAAGAAAAAGTGACCTATAATTTTCAGGAAGTAATATCTTTTAGCGAATAAGTGTAACAGCATAATTGCATAAACATACTTATATGGCCGGTTTTTAAGTTCCTATATCGTGCACGCCTATTCCATGTTTGTGCATCTTTACAGTTTCAAGTTACAGCGTATGTTGGAGGCTTGGAGTTCATTTGTGCAGATATGAATGCGCTCTGGGGAAACATAATCATTATATAGCAGAAAGTCACATGTACAAACTTCTCTTCTCTTTTCTTGAACGATAACCAACTTTACTTTCCATGATTATTTACATGTTCACATATTCTAACATGTACAAAAGATATGCCATTTTATAATTTTTAATTCACATATTCTAACTTTTTGGAAAAGTCCACAAAATCCAAAGAAACATATATGTTTTTTTTCTGTACATCTCGACACTAATGTCTCATACTACCTTCATCCCACAAAGAGTATAATTTTGGTTTTGTCTTAAGTCAAATAATTTTAAATTTAACTAAGTTTATAGAAAATAAAAAATATTTATGATACCAAATAAATATCATTAGATTTATCATGAAATATATTTTCACACTAAACCTATTTAGTGTCATAAATATTGATAATCTTCTCTGTAAATTTGATCAAAAGATACTTTGGCTTAGGACAAAACCAAAACGTCACTCTTTACGAAATGGAGGAAATATAAAAGAGAACAACGTTGATCTCACCAATGCAACCATTTCAGTATTGACAGCAAGATCTCTTCAATTAAGCATTCTTTTTTTGTCCATTACAATGCGTCTTGCTCCCAGTATGAACGTTTATATATACGTAGTTACATGTCTCAAGTCTGTTGATGATATATATATGACAATATACAGAAAACAAAAAGAAAAAGAAATTTGAAAGGTGGAGGAACTCAGTAACTCTGCATGTGAAAATTTTCTTGCTAACGAAAAATTTTCTTGCCCGAGAATTATTTACCGAGGGAATGGACCTGAGCCTCACCACCGTGCCCAATATGCTATGGAACCTGACCTTCAAAAACCTTCCTTTTCCCGTTTTGGACATGAACGGAAGAACGCAAAAATTGCAAGTGAATCGAGCTTGCTTGTAACCTATCAATGCTCTCTTATTCTGATGGTAGAGAAAACCACCCTCACCGCGGCTTCTCTACAGAGGCCACAGCTTCTTATTCACATTGGAGAGGCCTATCAGAACTGATATCAATAGAGCAAGATAATAATCATTGTTGGCAGCAGTAAGTTTTCCGCGATGATGAAAAATACAATCGAAGGCTAAAGTACCTGTGTCAAGTGATAGAAAAATTGTGCTGAGAGGATCACTCCCACCAGCTCAGAAAAATCAGCGACCACCACCAGGGCTTGAACTGCCGACACTTGTAGAAGTCTGAGTTCGCATAATGGTATCCGAAGGGAATACCCCTTTTGGCAAGATTGCTCCAACATGTTCGGGTGCTGCCACTGGTGATGCTACTTGGTTGATTGATGGATCTTTGGTTGAAATATATTCTGGGGAAGATGAAGATGGAGCCAACGTGGCAACAGAGAAGCCGATAGGGTAGGGAGCAATTGGCATGTCAGATAGGGGTAAAGCAGATGAACTGTAGCCTAGTGTACCCATTGGGTGATCATATTTGCATGCAACTCCATATCTGCAATATCCATTTTGTGCATAGTACGCACAAGGCTGAGCACCCTGTACATTGTAGATAACATAGCAAGATTGGGTAAGAAACTGCAATGTTATTTAAAAAAAAAGATGAATATGATAAAATCTACATGATTAGTCCAGCACAATTTTCCTTTGCAAGTAAAAAAGAAACATAACATCCTACATGCTTGTACTCAACTGTACCTTCCAGGTACAGTAGGCAATCATGCAGGGGGAAAAAGGATGTTTGTAGGTACAAATCTCTAGATCATTACAAACTTATACAGGATTCCATCCCAATAATC